GGACAGGGCCCCTCCACCCTGGGTCACGCCCTGACCCACATACCATCACCCACGCCAGAGGTGAATTGGCTCCCACTGGGCGGGAGGAGGTGGGTGGCACTAGGTCAGCCCCATGTCCTGTCCCTTGGATCTCCACCCCTGTTGTGGGGGCAGAGGGATGAGCACAGCGTCTTTGCCCCCTGCACTTCTGTTTGTTCTTCTGTGAAATGAACAGATTCCCTTGGGAAAGATCAGAGGAGCTGGTGGGAGGTGGGAAGCTTTGTCAATGCAGATATGGTCATTATAATATTAATGACAATATCCGTGGTCATTAGATGAGGTCACAGCTGACTGACAGGGTGGGGTGAGGAGAGTGGGAAGTAGACAAAGTTGTGTCCCCATCACCTGGCAGAGTCAGGTATACAGTGGATGCTCAATAGGTAGGTATCTGTAAGAGATGGAAAACTCAGGAATGTGTGCTCAGATGCTGTTTAGCTGGTGGCTGAGTTACTGTGATAATCAGGACAGATGCCTCAATTTCTCCACTGGGGTGATGGCCAAAATAAGAAACTGCCTTTCAACACTGTTGTCATAGTCAAATTCGATTGTGTCCATGGTCCCAGCTCTGGTGGCTGGGTTGTAAGGGAAAAAAAAACCACCGCTGGAAAAACAGTCACTGAAAAGACAAGGAAGGATCCCCTCCCCGACCCCAAACAGGCTCTATTATGTGCTAACTCAAATTTTGGGGGAGGCAAGACTTCAGATTCCCCTTCATAGAACCCTGAAGACCCAAAGAGGTCAGGGTGACTCAAGGTCAGTGGCTCCAGCCTCTCCACCCAAGCCTCCCATTTCCAGCATGGGAGCCTCTGTGTACTGATGTAGTTCCTGTTCATATCGGCTCCTGGGCCTGCCTGGATGCTGAACTCCTGCCCAGAGGCACAGAGAAATGGTGCTGGGGGCTCAAGTCAAACACCCCCAAGGGGACTCAACCCCCGACAAGACCAGGTTTCAGAGAATGGGGCATCCCTGTCAGCTGGACCTGCTGTGACCTTGGACAGGTCTCTACCATTTCTAGGCTTTGCTCTGAGGTTGGGAAAACTGGGGAACCAGCGTAGGCGGATGCAGGGTGACTACCAACGCATTAGGTGTTAAGAGTCACCGTGCTTCAGGCCACACATCTTAGAGAGGTTCATGAACATGTTTCAATTTCTTTTAAAAATAGAAGGGAAAAATTGCTTTGGGGGTTGAAAAAAAATTGTTTGATAACATTAATAAGGAGTTTGGGTGATGAAGTGAGTTCAGCATTGGGCTGCTAACTGCAGGGTTGGTGGTTCAAACCCACCAGCCTCTTCGAGGAATAACGATGAGGCTGCTTCAAAAAATATTTACAGTCTTGGAAACCCAAAGGAGCTGTTCTGCTCTGTCCTAAGGGTCGCTGAGTCAGAAATCAACTTAGTAATAATGGCTTTTTGGTTTTGTAGTTATCCTTATACCAAGTCATAAAATATAATTTTGAATCATTTTTAATAGAGGAAGGTGCCCATGAAGGCAAAAGTATCTCCAAAGCCCGCTGCCATTAGGTCGATTCCTACTTACAGTGACCCTGTATAGGACTTCCAAGATTAAACCTTCATAGGAGCAGATTGCTGTATCTTTCTCCCAAGGAGCAGCTGGTGAACAATTCATTGAACAATGAATCTTGCAGTTAGCAGTCTAATGCTAATCCCACAGCACAACCAGAGCTTCCTCGGGCCTGTAAAAGCCCTAATGTGGTCACGGTTCAATTCTCGGCTCTGCCTCTCACGGGCTGTACAGCCAGGGCTTCTATTTCCCCTTCTGTGAAGTGGGTGGGCATACTTGGTCCCCCTCAGGAGGGTAAGATAGAGAATCCTTAGCCTGGGATTGGTGCTTGATTTGTGAGTGTTCCCATTTTGGTTCAGTGATAGAATTTTTGCCTTCCATGTGGGAGACCCGGATTCGATTCCCGGCCAGCATACCTCCTGTCTGTCAGTGGAGGCTTGCGTGTTGCTTGTATAAAGATTTATAGCCTTGGAAATTCTATGGGGCAATTCTACTCTGTCCTAATTTAGGGTCACTATGAGTCGGAATTGTTTTGATTTAGGGACCTCAATTTACCCACCCATGTCATTTGAGGTCCTAGGCATGTCTGGGCCATCCTCCTGGGGAAGATAGAGTGACGGTTGGGTGGTGGGTGGGGCAGAGCAAGTTTCCTGTCGCCCTAGCACATGGGCCTATGTTGGTGTTTCCGGAAGTGGCAGCGATGACTACGTGGTCTCCCCTGGCACCGCCCCATTGGGAGAGGGACCCCAGCCTCTCTTCCTGTCCCATCCGGTCGGTGAGTTCGAGTTCGAGTCCCAGCCAGGAGATATCCATTGCCCCTCCTTATCCCCCTCAAGGACAGAAAGGAACCCCTCCATCCACCCTAGTCTCAGGAGTGGTAGCAGGTGTCACTTCCTGGGCTGGGTCACCCTTCTCTCTGCTCGGTCCCCCATTACTGCTCCTAATGGTTAGAAGGACAGAAGGGAGCAGAACAGGGGACCCTGAGACCCTGGGCCACATGTGATGGTTCCAAAAAAGTTTTCTGTGGTTTTTTTGCCGGCTAGACTGGTGACAAGATCGCAGTGACCCTGGGTCAGAGATGCGTGGGGGCTCTCTGTGCCTTAGCTTCCTCTTCTGGAAAGTCAGGGCTAAGTCTCCTCATGTGATTGTGAAGATTGGGTGAGTTGTGTGTGTGAGGAGCTAGGTCTGGTACACGCAGACTTTGTTGTGTGTGAGGA